ACCTCTAAAAAACTTAAAGAATCATTATTTTGGACTTCTATTGTGAATTGCAATCTCTTATTATAATTATTGAACGTATCTAATAATAAAGTGAAACCATCCGCAGGTGCTGTCAGAATAATATCGTCAACATATCTAAAATAAAATAAGGGCTTAAATTTTAATTTTTTCAATATAAACTTCTCCAGGTCTTGCATAANTATGTCAGCAATAATTGGAGATAAGGGAGAACCCATAGGCGTTCCGAAAGTTTGTTTATATATTTTACTATCAAAAGAGAAAAAAGTCGATGTTAAAACAAAATTTATTGCTTCTAAAAATTCATTCAAAGGAACCTTTGTGTTTTTTCTAATATATTTCCATCTGACTTTAATCCCTTTTATAGCTAGATCGATTGGTATGTTTGTAAAGAAGGAATTTACATCTAAAGACACAAACAAATGACCATGCTGCAGTGTAAGACCTCTCAATTTGTTAACAAGATCAACACTATTTTTTACATAGCTATTAGCAACTGGTATGCTTTTCTGAATCAATTTATTNAAATACTCAGCAAAGTGATGTAACGGACTATTAATCGTGGAAACAATTAATCTAAACGGATTATCTTTTTTATGAATNTTTGGTATTCCATAAGCCCGAGGTAACAAACCATCACTAGATTTGATGGATTTGTAAGTAAGATCTGAAATAAATTCTTTTTGTACCNAATTTCTTAACAATTTATTAAGACTATCTTCTATGTTTTTTATAGGATTTTTATTAACGCGAGAATACGTCAAACCATCACTGAGCATTGNATTAATCTTTTCTAAATAAGAAGTCCTATCAACAGCAACAGTCACATTACCCTTATCCGCACGTGTAAATATAATATCAGGATGATTTTTTATAAAAATCGAAACCTGTTTATGTCAAAATAACAATTCTTTATCAATCTCACTCAATCTCTGTGATGTACATAAATAATTGGTTAAAATTGGGATAACGTGCGATCTCAACGATTCCTCGATTTTTTTATTATTATAGAACCTTAAATTATTTTCAAAATCTTTTATCACCTCTAATAAGTTGTCCTTTCTAATAATAGGCATGCTAAAATTTTTACCTAGTTGTAAAAGTTGGACAACTACATCTGGGATATCAAAAGAAGTCGAATTAACAAACCATTTCTCCTTAATGTCAAAAAGGGAATTTGAAGTCAAATTACTAAAACTACTTGCGTTAACTTGAATATAATTAAAAGCAGGAGACATTGGTTTGTCATTCATTTTGTAAGTATATTTATCTCGAATTTTCCCAGAATCATTGTTAGCGCACGAAACCACATGTTCAACGGTATAAGAGATAGTTCAATTTCTTTTATGTCAGTACGGATTTTTTTACTAATTAACCAATCAATTCTTTTATTAATGTGTAGAGTTTGGAAACACACAAATTTGTCAAGAAATTTATATTGTTTGTAAAAGAAATTGTTTAATATACTAGCTGGTAANTGTTGATATAGAGTTTTGTTCAAACTACAAATAGTTTTTTGTAAAAACAAAAGTTTCCTGTATGTATCGCGAATTTTCAACTTTAAAATACTCAAGAAAAATCTTTGTACATATCTTCGAATTCTTAAAGAGCTTTTGTAATGGAATAATTCATTGGAATATTTCAAAAAATTACAGATGTGTGGAGGAACAATATCATGACGTACACATGTTTTCAAAAAATATAATCTGGTTTTGAGTTTTATAAGCTTACGATTTATGGATATCCAGTTTTTCAAAAAAATTGCGCTGGTAATTCCAAAATAGATAGTGATGAAGTAAAAGAAAGAGTTAATCTTGAAATCCGTAGAACGCTTCATTGCAGTTAGCGTGAAAAAATTAATCAATCGCTCGTGAAATAGTCAAAAATATTTAAACTAAAGGCCGATACGAGCATAAAATACAGTATGGCCGTGTATAATAAGTTGTCTTTATTCAATAAATATAGACGTTTTGGTCACACAATTTTTGACCTTCTTCAGTATGAAAATTAAGTCTAACAAAAGAAAAAAAAATTACAATCAATAAAAAAAGCGCAAATNAAATATCACAGAAAAATAAAAAATAATATATAAAACTTACTTAATTAAAAAAGAAAAAAATATTTTAGTACACTACGTCACCAACAGATAGATGAAATAATGTTGATGACTTACAACAATATACTGTGTACTGGCAAGAAAACATAAACAAGCCAAATATATATAGACATCCCCACTATTAAATCAAAATATCAAAAGATTCGCAATAAGTCGAAAAACATGTTTACAAAATATGTACAAAAGTAACGTTCTAAACTTTCGATTTATACAATTCTAAAAAGAGAAAGTAAGGTTTTAGCTTATCTGTGTCCGACATTACATTTATTGGATTTTCTTGTAACTTGATGTGGAGCATTTCTGAAACTGATCTCTTATAAAAAAATTTTTCCATATCTAAGATTTTAACGTCGTTCCAGATGAAGTCATGTTCAGTCTCTAAAGGATGCTCCGTAACCACAGAAACAAAATCAGAATTTCTATTAATTTGATTTCTATGGTCACTAACTTTTGTCTTTAATTTACGCTTCGTTTGTCCGACATAAGATATATTACAATTATTACAATTAATTTGATAAGCCACATCTTTATTTTGATCATGAGTTAACCTATCCTTTCCAACTTTTATGAATTTACTCAATTTATTTAAACTTTGAAACGCCAAAGAAATCTCTTTAGTTTTTTTAAAAAATCTTAAAAAAGAATCAGACAAATCAGGAAGATAAGAAAAACAAAATATTTTTTAACAATTTTAAAATCAGAATGACAGACAAATTTATTGTCAATGTTTAAATTTAATCTGTTATGAATTAAAAATTTAATTCTATTCTTAATAATCCTAAATATAAATTGTAAAGGATAATTATTCATAAGAAGCACCTCAATCATAAATTTAAAATTATTTTGTTGGAAACAAGGGTCAGATAATAATAAAATTCTATCAACCATATTTAAAACTGTACAAATTTTTTGTGATTGCGGATAGGCCGAATAAAAATTCAAGTATCTACCCGAAAAAGTATGTTTATGGTACCAATCAAAACTTAATTTACCGTGAAAATTTAAAATCTTAACCTCTAAAAAACTTAAAGAATCATTATTTTGAACTTCTATTGTGAATTGCAATCTCTTATTATAATTAGTGAACGTATCTAATAATAAAGTGAAACCATCCGCAGGTGCCGTCAGAATAATATCGTCAACATATCTAAAATAAAATGAGGGTTTAAATTTTAATTTAAGCCCTTCTCTATTATATCATTATATAATAGAGAATTATCTTATTTATTATACCATTATATTCTAATTCTTTAATCTTACCCGGGACTCCTTATTCTTACTGTGAAGTCTGGCACCATTCCACAACGCTAGAACTTTCTTTCTCTTTTGTGTTTTCAAATATTTTTTTTCTTTTTCTTTCTACATAATTTTATATATCGCTTTTGTCTTTTATATCCATTTATCTCACTTGCTTTTCTACTTCATCTTTTGAAACTTTGTCTTATCTTTAATCTTACTTCACACTACTTGTCTTATCATCCTGTTTTATTTCGTCTTACTATTACTCTTTGCTTTCCTAATATCCTTTTTATTATTATTTTTTTAAATTTCTTTTTTGCCATTTTTCTTCCGGTTTTTCTTCTTTTCGCATCTCTTTTTTTAACTTACTAAAAATTTCATTTATTTGATGTTTACAATATGTAGAAATATGATTGCATATGAAGAAATCAACTTAATTGATGTATATATTTATAGACATGCATAACGTCTCTTTTCCAATATTTGACAAATACACTCACCAAATTTGTTCTTAAAATAAAGGCAATTGTTTCTTTTTCTCACTCTCGCAACTTTATTTCAGTGATCACTTTTTTCCTCTTCTTTCTGTCTCTATTTACAACTTTCCACACCTTCTTTTCCATGTTTGCTTTCCTAACTATACCTTCTCTTCTCTAATTTTTTTTCTTTTTTTCTTCTCACATAATTCTGTATATTGCTTTTTTTCTTTATAACCATCCATCTCACTTGCCTTTCTCCTCTATCTTATGGAACTTTGTCTCAGCTTCTTTTTCTTCTTNAAATATATATAGACATCCCCACTATTAAATCAAAATATCAAAAGGTTCGCAATAAGTCGAAAAACATGTTTACAAAATATGTACAAAAGTAACGTTCTAAACTTTCGATTTATACAATTCTAAAAAGGGAAAGTAAGGTTTTAGTTTGTCTGTGTCCGACATTACATTTATTGGATTTTCTTGTAACTTGATGTGGAGCATTTCTGAAACTGATCTCTTATAAAAAAATTTTTCCATATCTAAGATTTTAACGTCGTTCCAGATGAAGTCATGTTCAGTCTCTAAAGGATGCTCCGTAACCACAGAAACAAAATCAGAATTTCTATTAATTTGATTTCTATGGTCACTAACTTTTGTCTTTAATTTACGCTTCGTTTGTCCGACATAAGATATATTACAATTATTACAATTAATTTGATAAGCCACATCTTTATTTTGATCATGAGTTAACCTATCCTTTCCAACTTTTATGAATTTACTCAATTTATTTAAACTTTGAAACGCCAAAGAAATCTCTTTAGTTTTTTTAAAAAATCTTAAAAAAGAATCAGACAAATCAGGAAGATAAGAAAAACAAAATATTTTTTAACAATTTTAAAATCAGAATGACAGACAAATTTATTGTCAATGTTTAAATTTAATCTGTTATGAATTAAAAATTTAATTCTATTCTTAATAATCCTAAATATAAATTGTAAAGGATAATTATTCATAAGAAGCACCTCAATCATAAATTTAAAATTATTTTGTTGGAAACAAGGGTCAGATAATAATAAAATTCTATCAACCATATTTAAAACTGTACAAATTTTTTGTGATTGCGGATAGGCCGAATAAAAATTCAAGTATCTACCCGAAAAAGTATGTTTATGGTACCAATCAAAACTTAATTTACCGTGAAAATTTAAAATCTTAACCTCTAAAAAACTTAAAGAATCATTATTTTGAACTTCTATTGTGAATTGCAATCTCTTATTATAATTAGTGAACGTATCTAATAATAAAGTGAAACCATCCGCAGGTGCCGTCAGAATAATATCGTCAACATATCTAAAATAAAATGAGGGTTTAAATTTTAATTTAAGCCCTTCTCTATTATATCATTATATAATAGAGAATTATCTTATTTATTATACCATTATATTCTAATTCTTTAATCTTACCCGGGACTCCTTATTCTTACTGTGAAGTCTGGCACCATTCCACAACGCTAGAACTTTCTTTCTCTTTTGTGTTTTCAAATATTTTTTTTCTTTTTCTTTCTACATAATTTTATATATCGCTTTTGTCTTTTATATCCATTTATCTCACTTGCTTTTCTACTTCATCTTTTGAAACTTTGTCTTATCTTTAATCTTACTTCACACTACTTGTCTTATCATCCTGTTTTATTTCGTCTTACTATTACTCTTTGCTTTCCTAATATCCTTTTTATTATTATTTTTTTAAATTTCTTTTTTGCCATTTTTCTTCCGGTTTTTCTTCTTTTCGCATCTCTTTTTTTAACTTACTAAAAATTTCATTTATTTGATGTTTACAATATGTAGAAATATGATTGCATATGAAGAAATCAACTTAATTGATGTATATATTTATAGACATGCATAACGTCTCTTTTCCAATATTTGACAAATACACTCACCAAATTTGTTCTTAAAATAAAGGCAATTGTTTCTTTTTCTCACTCTCGCAACTTTATTTCAGTGATCACTTTTTTCCTCTTCTTTCTGTCTCTATTTACAACTTTCCACACCTTCTTTTCCATGTTTGCTTTCCTAACTATACCTTCTCTTCTCTAATTTTTTTTCTTTTTTTCTTCTCACATAATTCTGTATATTGCTTTTTTTCTTTATAACCATCCATCTCACTTGCCTTTCTCCTCTATCTTATGGAACTTTGTCTCAGCTTCTTTTTCTTCTTTACACTTCTTGTCTTAGAATCC